CTGTTTTTAAATTTTTTTACTTTTTAAACTCTTGAAGAGGATGAAAAGGCAAGATACAGGGAGAAAATATTTGCAAACCACATTTGCACACAAACATACATATTAGCCTAGGCCTACATAGGGTCATGATCATCAGTGTCACATCAATATCATCAAGAGGTCTTCCACCTCCACATCTTGTCCCACTGGAAGGTCTTCAGGGACATTAACATACACAGAGCATGAAAACAATGCCACCTTCTGGAAAACCTCCTGAAGGGACTGCCTGGAGCTGTTTCACAACTAACTTTTTTGTTTTATAAGTAAAATGTGTACACTCTAAAATAAGAATGGAAAGCCTGTGTAGTAAATGCATAAAACAGTAACATAATCATTTATTATCAACTATTATGCACCATACATAATTATATGTGCTATATGTTTATATGACTGGCAATGCAATAGGTTTGTTTACAGCAGCATCACCACCAATACTATGACTCTATCACTAGGCAATAGTGGGATTGCTGGATCAAATGGTAGTTCTGTTTTTTAGTTCTTTGAGAAATGCTCATACTCTTTTCCATAGATGTTGTACTTATTTGCATTCCCACCAACCATGTAAAAGTGTTTCCTTCTCCACACCCTCACCAACATCTGTTGTTTTTTGACTTTTCAATAACAGCCAACTGCTTCAAATTTTTTTTAAATTTTTTATTGCCTTCTTTTTTTTTTTTTTTGCTTCAAATTTTTAGAAGAAATATCAACCAAAGGGCTGATATCCAGAATCTACAAATAACTTAAACAAATTTACAAGAAAAAATCAAACAACCCCATCAAAAAGTGGGCAAAGGATATGAACAGATACTTCTCAAAAGAAGACATTTATGCAGCCAACAGACACATGAAAAAATGCTCATCATCACTGGCCATCAGAGAAATGTAAATCAAAACCACAATGAGATACCATCTCACAGCAGTTAGAATGGCAATCATTAAAAAGTCAGGAAACAACAGGTGCTGGAGAGGATGTGGAGAAATAGGAACACTTTTACACTGTTGGTGGGACTGTAAACTAGTTCAACCATTGTGGAAGACAGTGTGGCAATTCCTCAAGGATCTAGAACTAGAAATACCATTTGACCCAGCCATCCCATTACTGCGTATATACCCAAAGGATTGTAAATCATGCTGCTATAAAGACACATGCACACGTATGTTTACTGGGGCACTATTCACAATAGCAAAGACTTGGAACCAACCCAAATGTCCATCAATGATAGACTGGATTAAGAAAATGTGGCACATATATACCATGGAATACTATGCAGCCATAAAAAAGGATGAGTTCATGTCCTTTGTAGGGACATGGATGAAGCTGGAAACCATCATTCTGAGCAAACTATCGCAAGAACAGAAAACCAAACACTGTATGTTCTCACTCATAGGTAGGAATTGAATAATGAGAACACCTGGACACAGGAAGGGGAACATCACACACCAGGGCCTATTGTGGGGAGGGGGGAGGGGTGAAGGATAGCATTAGGAGATATACCTAATGTAAATGACGAGTTAATGGGTGCAACACACCAACATGGAACACGTATACCTGTGTAACAAACCTGCACGTTGTGCACATGTGCCCTAGAACTTAAAGCATATAAAAGAAAAATCAACTATTCTGTTTGAGAAGGAAAATGAGTAATAAATTGCCCCTTTGTTGCAATCCACAAACCCTTTCTAACATAGATTACTAAAATTTGCTCATCGCGTGGAGCATCTTTCATTTAGCAAGCTGGTAAAATGTATGAGAAGCCACAAGAAAAGGGTTTTGTAAAAACAGCAAAACTGCATTTCAAAATGTGCCATTTTTTTTTTTAATTGAGCTTTCTTATCAGGAAAATAACCCACATCCTGAATGCATTTCTAGCACATGCAGAAATAAGATGCTCTTTCATTTTATCTGGCCTCACACTTCCATTCACAAGAATGTTTTCCAGAAATAAAACCAGGATGACCTTTGTGTCCTAACAAGTTCAAAGATGCAAATGAAATCATTTAATTCCTGATCTTTCACTTATTTCTGTTGGTAACGAAGTCTCAGGCACTGCTAATACTCATAGTTTGTTGACAATATTCAGTAGAAAAAGAAATGATTCACATCAATTAGAAGTTAATAAAAAATAAAAATATACATTTATCTATCAGAGTTCATGGACTTCATGAAACTAAGAGAACACTAGACCTATATTGGTAAACCTTGCTCAGGAATGGAGGTAAGGAGCTAAAAAAAATCTGATACTTGCATGTATAAAATCAGTTCATAAATGTTCTGAAAGAGCTTTTTGCAACTTTTTATTATTCATTGTGATTTTTCATCTGAAGCATCATATTAACAGCAATATGGTGAATGAAACGTGAATTTTAGTGACACTGATCTAGGTTTGAATCCCAGCTTTGCTCCTTGATATACACTTCATCACCATGTTGTCACCAGGGCTCCATGAGACAATCTATGTAGAAGGGCCCAGCCTTGTGCGTGGCACATAGTAAGCATTCAATACATGCTGGTTTTGTTTCTTTTTCCTTCACCTCTCTCTCCACCAGCAACTGGAGGTAGGAAGTGCTAGATGTATACTCCGGTGTTTTTCCTGGGCCCTGCAAGTAGGCACTCCTCCACCAGATATTTTTAAAGGGCCATTATCTCCTACTCTGTTCCTCATATACACTCTGAAAAACCAATGCTGTCCCTGGGAACCCAGGAACAAAGTAGCCTGATCCCTGACTCTATGCCAGTCCATTCCCCTAAAATAAAAGGCAGCACTGAGAAAGACAAGTTCACCGGACTGTTCATCTGTGATATCACGAAGATCTCAGCCACCCACCCTGGAGCCAAGAGAGCCAAGAAAGACCATGAACACGAAGACACGATGTTCTGGCTCCTCTCCTCAGAGCAGAACAAATAGCATCTATTCAGAGTGGAGGCCCTTCTAGGCATGGGGGCACATCAATTTGGGTGCTGTAGCCAATGGCAGTGGCATCACAGACAGTGGTATCATGTGCCAAGCAGAGTGCTAGGAACTTCAGAATAACAGAACCTGCTACACATCTTCATGATGTATGCCATGGAACCACAGAATGTTAAAGTTCTAAAGGGTCCTTAAAATGATTAAAACCTGATGTTACAGATAAACGATTTGCTAAAGACACAATGAGTTATCTAGTGATCAGGCACAGGTCTCCAGACTCTCAGGAAAATGCTGTTTCCATTGTGCCACACTACCTCTATTAATAGGTTCTAACACCTTCTCTCCTACCCCATGATAAATGAAGAAAGAAGTTGTTTTCAAGAGAAAATGTGATGGATGAGGTACTGTGGGAGGCTGAGAAGTAGGTCAGAGGACTCCAACATTTGGGTAGAGTTGCAAAATTCTACAATCTTAACTGGAAATAATTGATACAATGGAGATTCAAAACACAATTGGCCTTTCAGAAGGCATCTGCCAAGGAGAAACTTGAAAAGAAACTGCAAATCCATTTCAGTTTAACCTAGAATGTCTGCTTCTTTTGCTTTGATTCTAGTACTGCTCCCTCTCTTTATTTTCTTATGTTTCATTTTTATTTTTATAGATTCAGGGAGTACATACACAGGCTTATGATATGGACAGATCATCGAATGGTGAAGTTTGGGTATCTAGCGTATCCAACACCTAAGAGTGAACATTATACCCAGCAGGTAATTTTTAAATAGAGGATAAAGCAGAGAAAACAAGTGACAAATGAAATGCCCTAATAACTTGGTAAGCCCAGGCTCCAAAGGCTCAGAAGTTTGTCTTCTTGATAAGCCTGGGAATGTTCTGAAAAATGCTATCCAGTGTTCAACACCCTCTTTTAAAACATGGTAGAGTAGAAAACTAGATCCAAAGGCCTCACAACCTTACTCTCCATTCTGGAATCAATCCTTTCAAAGGAACCAGTTCCCTCTTGTGTAAGTCTCTAAGACTTCTTGCTCTCTTCTTAGGCAAAGGTGGGCTCCATACTCTGTTTGTTCATAGAGAAGAAACATTGTAAATTTTGTGACACTTAACAAAAGATCATATTTTACCCAATCTTCATCTGATGTCTAAAAAATGTCAGACTCAATGTTTCAATGATCATATTGTTCCTACAACTAAAGAACATGTTAAAGCAGTTTAGTATGGAATATTTCTAGTATCTCTAACCAAGTGCCATCAGCCATTGGCTGGTGGTTTAGGAGACTTAGAATGCCAGGAGTGGTCATGGTTTTCTAGTACTTTACCCATAGCAAATCTTAACTGAGTTAGCTTTCATAAAGACAGACATTTAAATTATGAACAAAAAACTAGCCAGATTCAAAGTATAAATTTGCTAAAGATCAAGTCATGGAATAATTCTAGAGAGGATTTAATGGCTTCACAAAGTAAATAGTCCCTGGCCTTGAAGGACAGATTTCTTGTAAGTAAAAGTTCGGGACTGAGAATCAAACATTCTAGGTGGAAGGTCAAGCTTGGTCACAGACTATATATCTTGTCCTCTCTCTCTCTGGTTTCTTACCCATAATGTGAGGAGCCAGGTGAGCTTGTCTGCCTTATTCATTGCTTGGTGTCACTCATGTAACTGTGCTGGCATATACAATTTCTCAACAAATATTTGTTGAATGCATGAATAAATCTCAGAGAGGCATTGAATCACGGTGGTGAAACGTGTGGACTCTAAAATTAGGAAGTCATACTTCGAGTACCAGCACTATCAGTCACTGGATATGTGACCGGGGATAAGCTTCTGGAACCTCAACAAACCTGTTTCCTCCTCTGTGAAATTGGGATAAGAATAATAATATCAAAACTGTATGTTTTTTAAAAGGTTAGCTCCATGCAAACCTCAACATTTATTAATTTTCTTTATTCTCTGCTGTGAGGAGGACAGCCAATGAACTTGAGCTCCAAGAGGAAACCTTGTGTGACTGGCTCTCCCCAGGCATGAATAATTATTAGCCTATGATGAAGAAGAAGGTTTCCTCTCTGGAGCCTAAAGACCTGTGCTTACAGCTCCTAGCGTCTTTTTCCTGCACAAGAGATTTCCGGGTCAGGATGAATAAATACTTCTTGTTCCTCTTCCCCCTTTGCTGCCTCATTGTGGGTGAGTCCCGGACCTGAGGGGTATACTTGAGAGACAGGATCTAGGGAGCTCCAGGGAAACTACAGGTGTATCATGCGTCCACGCAGGGCTGAGCTTTGGCCACTTTTATGAGCCAGGGGAAGCCGGCCTCCAGAATGCTCCTTTGCCTTCCCTGCCAACTCTTCCATCCTTTTCAACCTCCTGCCATTCTCCTCCAGGTGGGCAGGCCTCTGTCCTGCCATTTTAACCCACTTTCTCCTTCGGTCCCTACCATTCCCCATAGTCCCAAGCCCTGGCAAGATTTTCCTGAGGGCATCCTTTTTATTTGTAAACCTATATCCCATTTGTTGAGGGAGCTATCAGTCTATAATGAATAATTTTCAGTTTATTTTAGGACTGAACAATGGCTTTTCATACCCTTTTCAGAGACTTTATATTACAACAAGTAACTCTATGAGAGGAAGTACTGAATGCTCTGGAATCACACAGATTTTTTTCATGGTTTGTGGTCACAGTCTCAAACTCTCTGTACCTTTGGTTGCTCATTCAAGAAATAGGGACAATGGTGCCTGCTTACAAGGCTTTTGTGAGGATTAAATCAGATGCAACTTGAGAGAACATGGCCCAAATGGGATGCTCAATCACTGCTTTCTTTTCTCATTCAGGTGGACCAGGGATTTTTTTTTAAATTGAACCTGTATTTTGAATAGCTCACCCCACAGAACCTCATAAAAGTGTCACTTATGGTACTACTATTGATGATGCCTTTATGTAGATTCAGATTGAAGCTCAAAATAACAGAATATATCACCTAACGATATCCAAGCAGCAATATACAACACAAAACAATGGCAAATGTTAGAAACCCAGTAATAGTAACAATAGCTTGGATGAAATATTTTAAAGCCCTCATCCTCCTTATCACACCCATATCTCTAGTAGGCCAGGCTAGCATTCATAGCACCATTTTTAAGCTAGAGAAATCAGTGACGTGGAAGCAAACTTTTTGCTTAAAGTTATCCGGGTTAAAAGGGCTAAAGTTGGGATCAGAATCCTTTTATTCATATGGTGACATTTTCTTTTTATTAAAACTCTGAAATGAGGAGTTCATAAGAGCTCCAACTGTTTACTGCCTAAATACCCCAACCAGGAGCTCTTCATCTGCCCGCCCCCTCCACTATTCATTCCCCACCTCCATCGAATATTTCCAGCTCTATCCCAAGTCCCCACTTTTGCCTGGTCTCACACCATCTCTGTGCTCTCTCCAGCAGTGACATCACTTCAGTGCATAACATGCCACCTTCGCACACGGACAGACCGCTGCAGAAGAGGCTTTGGTGCCTGTACTGCTCAGAAGGACGAGGCATGCATGCTCTTAAAGATCTACCAGGGTAAGTTAAGAGGGTCAAGGAAGGTATTGTAAGAGTCTTAGAATCCTTAGGATAGTGCTTCAGCAATTTCACATCTCAAGAGAAGAACCAATGCAGAGTGCCCCTGAGCACAGATGGTAACACAGGTCCCTGTGCATACAGACAGAAGATGATTTCAGTCAATGAGACAGGAGGGAGAAGTTGGGATTCTATATTTCCAAGAAAACTGACCAACTGGATTTTTTTTTTGGTAATTGACACATAACAATTGTTCATATTTATGAGTACATGTGATATTTTTATACAAGCCTTCAATGTGTAATGATCAAATCAGGGTAATAGGGATATTAATCAACTCAAACATTTATCATTTCTTTGTATTGAGAACATTCCGTATGTTCTCCTCTAGCTATTTTGAAACATACAATAAAGAAAATACGGTATATACACACAATAGAATATTATTCAACCATAAAAATAAATGAAATTCTGTCCTTTGCAGAAACACAGGTAAGCCTCAAGGTCATAATATTAAACGAAATAAGCCAGGCACAGAAAGACAAATATCACATGTTCTCACTCATGTATAGGAGCTAAAAAATAAGTTAATGTCATGGAGGTAGAGACTAGAGTGATGATTACCAAAGGCTGAGAAGAGTGGTGGAAGGAGAGGATGAAGAGGGGCTGGTTAATGACCAAACTGATTTTGACTTTGAAGACACTAAATCACTAGTTGCTAATCTAGCAAGAGAGAAAAATGAAGCAGCTACACAGAGTTGAGGATTTTCAGGGACCTCAGGCAAACAACCCCTGCAGCTGACCAGTGACCTCTGTATCTCCCTGCCTGGGCGCTTTTAGGGAGTATAAGCTGGGAAGCCATCCCTCAACTTACCCTGATGCCTGATTAAATTTTCACCAACAGAACTAGTGCTGGGTTTTACTCACCTTGGAGAGCTTAAATCAAATGCTTATTTTCTGTGGTTCTTTCCTATTTTAGGCAATGCTCTGCAGATATCATACATGGTGTGTCAGAAATTCTGCAGAGACATGACATTTGATCTCGGGAATCGGACTTATGTTCATACATGCTGCAACCAAAATTACTGTAACTTCCAACTCTAAGATATTTGCCCTCCTGAGGTCTCGCTTTGGAATGTCCCCAATGTTGCTCATCCTTCACACTCTGAAGCCCTTGCTTTCCTTCCGTGTCTGTCCTGACAATACCCCTGCCCTCTCATTAACCTAAGAAGACTAAGCTAGAGTCATCCTTTCTGGTGTCTTCAGCTTGGCTTCTCCCTCAGTCAGAGAATAGTGGTACTGAACAATGGATTTCTCCTGTTATCGGGAATATTGGCATTGCCATACTCCAAGAAACCTGCCCCAAGAGTTCCTGTACAGTAAAATTTAAAGCAGGGACATTCTAGAATCCTAATTGGCTTAACTAGTTCAGGTACACCAGAAAGTCTTCAGCTAAAAATTCACAACATTTTTATCTAAAATTCCCATGTGTCAGGAGAATGATTTAAGCAGAAATAGCAATAAAATGGATGACAGATACTGAAGATTTTTCTCTATGGACACCAAGTTATTTCTACCAGCAGGCAGTGCCCACTTCAAACTCAGCCATTGTGATTTTCCTGGCATTTACAAACTACATCCTTACACTGTTATTAGGAGATAGCAAACAAGGGACTTCCTGGCCTCTGTGACGTTCACTGAGCTCTCACACAGCCGCTACTACTCCTATCAAGATGTACATTCAAGGTGCATCAGAACCTCTCTTCCTTTCCTCCTTTGCCATTCACCTTTACTATCACCTCCCACCTCCATTATCACCTCCCCATTGTGACACAAACTCTCCCTGTAGAAGCAGGAGGTCCTTTGAAGCTTTGCCCCATGTGTCAGATGACACCTGAGGCATATAACCTAGGGTGGGCTGCCTTTCAGGATCCCTCAGCAAAAGGAGGCAAATATAGTCAAAATACCATCTACCCTATACAGCTTTCTTGAGACTTGGGGGCCTGGCTCAAAGAGATTTGTCTGTTGTTTGCTGCCCATCTTTAAGTAATAAACAGACTTCACATAACTTCTTGTGTGTCGGTGTGTTCTGTCTCATCGAACTCAGACAAATAGGTAACTAAAGCATGATGGAACTAAATAGTAGCCCAAGATATAGTGGGATTCCTGTTTCTGGCGATGGGCAGAGTGCTGATTCCTGTTATTCTCCAGAAAGTGGGAGTCCTTGCTTGGGATTGGTAATTAGTATTGCACTTCTATATTCATGAAACAATTATGACTGTTCTGGAACTTATTATAAATGAAATCACACAGAAACTATTCACTTAAACCTGGCTTCTTTTACTCACCATAATACTGTTTTAATTTTTAAATTTTTAATTTTAGTAGGTATATAGTTGGTGTACATATTTATGGGGTACATGAGATATTCTCACAAAGGCATGCAAAGCACAATAATCACATCATGGAGAATGGGGTATCCATCCCATCAAGCATTTATCCTTTGTGTTACAAACAATTTAATTATATTCTTTTAGTTATTTTTAAATGTACAATTAAGTTATTATTAACTGTAGTTGCCTGTTGTGCTATCAAATACTAAATATCATTCATTCATTCTATTTTTTATACCCAATAATCATCACGACCTCCCCTCCAACCCCCTACTATCATTCCAAACCTCTAGTAACCATCCTTCTAATCTCTATGTTCATGATGAATTCAATTGTTTTGATTTTTAGATCCTACAAATAAGTGAGAACATGTGATGTTTGTCTTTCTGTGCCTGACTTATTTCACTTAACAGAATGACCTCCAGTCCATCCATTGTTGTCATTGTTGCAAATGACTGGATCTCACTTTTTTTTTATGGCTGAATAGTACTCACTTGTGTATATTTACCACATGTTCTCTATCCATTTTTCTATTGATGGAAAGTTAGCTTGCTTCCAAATTTCGGCTATTGGGAAGAGTGCTGCAACAAAGAGTGCAGATATCTCTTCAATGTGCTGATTTTCTCTCTTTTAAGTATATACCCAGCAGTAGGATTGCTGGATCATATGGTGGCTCTATTTTTAGTTTCTTGAGAAACCTCCAAACTGTTCTCCATAGTGGTTGTACTAATTTACATTCCCATCAACAGTGTGTGAGGGTTCCCTTTTCTCCACATCCATGCCAGCATTTGTTACTGCCTGTCTTTTGGATATAAGTCATTTTAACTGGGATAAGGTATCTCATTGTAGTTTTGATTTGCATTTCTCTGATGATAAATGATGTTCAGAACACTTTCATATGTCTGTTTTCCATTTGCGTGTCTTCTGAGAAATGTCTATTCCAATCTTTTGCCCATTTTTGACTGGATTATTAGATTTCTTCCTATAAAGTTGTTTGAGCTCTTAATATATCCCCGCCATTATTCTCTTGTCAGATGGGTAGTTTGGAAATATTTTCTCCCATTCTGTGGGTTGTCTCTTCACTTTGTTAATATTGTTTCCTTTGATATGCAGAAGTTTACATTGATGTTATCCCATTTGTCCATTTTTCCTTTGATTATCTGCGCTTATATGGTATTGCCTAAGAAATTTTTGACCACAACAATGTCCTGGAGAATTTCCTAAAAGTTTCCTTACATTCATTTAATGGTTCAAGTCTTTAATCCATTTTGATATGATTTGTGTATATGGTGAGAGGTAGTGGTCAAGTTTCATTCTTTTGCATATGGATATCCAGTTTTCCCAGTGCCATTTATTGAGGAGTCTGTCTTTTCCCCAGTGTATGTTCTTGGCATCTTTGTCAAAAATAAGTTTGCTGTATGTGTGTGGATTTGTTTCCGAATTCTCTATTCTGTTCTATGTGTTCTATGTATTCTGTTCTATTCTGTTCTAGGTCTATGTGTCTGTTTTTATGCCAGTACTATGCTGTTTTGGTGACTATATCTCTGTACTATAATTTGAAGTCAGGTAATGTGATTCCTCCAGTTTTGTTCTTTTTGTTCAGAATACCTTTGGATATTCTGGGTCTTCTGTGATTCCATGTAAATTTTAGTATTTTCTATTTTGGTAAAGAATGTCATTGGGATTTTGATAAAAATTGCATTGAATCTGTAGAATGTTTTGGGTAGTACGGACATTTTAACACTATTGATTCTTATAATCCATGAACATGAAATATAATTTAATTTTTTAATGTCTTCTTCAATTTCTTTCCTCAGTGTTTTATAGTTTTTGTTGTAGAGATACTTTACTTCTTTGTTTAAGTTCATACCTAAGTATTTAATTTTTTCTGTGGCTATCATAAATTGGATTTCTTTCTTGGTTCCTTTCCCAGAATGGTTGCTATTAGCATACATAAATGTTACTAATTTTTGAATGTCAATTTTGTATTCTGCAACTTTATTGAGTGTGTTTATCAGTTCTATTTTTTGGTGGAGTCTTTAGGTTTTTCCTACTACAAGATCATATCATCTGCAAACAAGGACAATTTGAATTCTTCCTTTCCAATTTGGATGCCCTTTATTTTCCTCTCTTGTCTAATTGCTCTAGCTAGAAATTCCAGTACTATGTTGAATAACAGAGGTGAAATGGGCATTCTGGATCTAAGAGGAAAGGTTTTCAGGTTTTTTTTTCATTTTTTATGATATTAGCTGTGGGTCTGTCATATATGGCTTTTATTATGTTGAGGTATGTTCATTCTATACACAGTTTTTTGAGGGCTTTGAACATGAAGGGATGTTGAACTGTATTAAATGCTTTTTAGCATCAGTTGAAAATATCATATGCTTTTTTGCCCTTCTTTCTGTTGATATGGTGTATCACATTGATTGATTTGCATATGTTGAAGCATCCTTGCATCCCTAGTACAAATCTCACTTGGTCATGATGAATGATCCTTTTAATGTATTCTTGACTTAGGTTTGCTAGTATTTTGTTTGGGATTTTGCACCAATATTCATCAGTGATATTTACCCACAGTTTTCTTTTATTGATGTGTCTTTGTCTGGTTCTGGTATCAGGTAATATTGGTTTCATTGAATGAGTTTGGAAGCATTCCCTTCTCTTCTATTTCTCAGAATAGTTTGAGTAGATTTGACATTAGTTCTTTAAATGTTTGGTAGAACTCAGCAGTGCAACCATCAAGTCCTGGGCTTTTTTTAACTGAGTGACTTTCAATTACTGTTTTGGTCTTGTTACTTTTTACTGGTCTCTTCAGGTTTTGAATTTCTTCATGTTTGAATCTTTGCAAGTTATATGTGCATAGGAATTCATTCATTTATTCTAGATTTTCCAGTTTATTGGCATATAATTGCTCATAGTACCAACTAATGATCCTTGGAATTTCTGTGGTATCAGTTGTAATGTCTCCTATTTCATCTCTAGTTTTAATTATTTGGGACTTCCCTCTTTTTTTCTTAGTCTGGATAAAGGTTTGTCCATTTTGTTTATCTTTTTAAGGAAATCAACTTTTGGTTTCATTGATCTCTTGTATTGTTTTCCATCATTTCAAATTCATTTATTTCTGCTCTGATCATTATTTCTTTTCATCTACTAATTTTGAGTTTGGTTTGCTCTTGCTTTTCTAGTTCTTTAAGATGCATCATTAGGTCATCTATTTGAAGTTTTTTTTTTTCTTTTTTGATGTAGGCACTTATAGCTATAAGTTCACCTCTTAGTACTGCTTTCACTGTATTCCATAGGTTTTGGTATGTTGTCTATTATTTGTTTCAAGACATTTCTCAATTTCTCAATTTTTTTCATTGACCCACTGGTCATTTGGAAGTATATTATTTAATTTCCATGTGTTTGTATACTTTTCAAAATTCCTCTTGTTATTATTTCTAGTTTTATTCCTTTTTGCTCAGAGAAGATGTTTGGCATTATTTCAACTTTTTTGAATGTTTTAAGACTTGTTTTGTGACCTGCCATAGGACGTATCCTTGAGAATGATTCATGTGCTGAGAAGAATGTGTATTCTGCACCTGTTGGATGATATATTTCATAAATATCCATTAGATCCATTTGTTCTATAGTGCAGATAAAGTCTGATGTTTCTTTATTTTCTGTTTTGATGATCTGTCCAATGCTGAAAGAGGGATGTTGAAGTATTCAGCTACGATTTTATTGAGATATTTCTCTTTAGCTCTAATAACATTTGCTTTATATATTTCATGCTCCAGGACTCTGTCCTTGTCTGCAAAGTCTTCACTAAGAAGTCTGCATCCAGACATATTAGAACTCCATTGTATGTGATTTATTTTCTCTTACTGCTTTTAAGATTCATGCTTTATCCTTGACCTTTGGGAATTTGGGTTAAATCTGTTTACTGTTCTATTGTCTTCTTGTATTTGAATATTAATCTCTCTCTTTATGTTTGGGAAGTTCTCTGATATCCATTTGAATAAAGTTTCTATCACTGTCTCTTTTTCTACCTCCTCTTTAAGGTCAATAACTCTTAGATTTGCCCTTTTGAGGTTGTCTTCTACATCTTATAGGCATGCTTTATTCTTTGTTGTTGTTGCTTTTTTTTTTTTTTTCCATTCTCAGCCCATGCTGCTTTATTGCTAAAAAATATAAATACACAGGTGCAGAGTTTCCAACTCTTTTAACAGTTCCTTTTTACACCAAAGAATTAAATTTCTTCTTCAAAAAACCCAAAGATGCATAGATTAAAAAGCAAGCTG